CCATGGAGTGGAGTTATATACCAGGATTATGTTTTTCTGGAATATATTGGAAGTAAGCCATGCAGCAAGAGTGATTTTTGTTGCAAGCTAAGCTTATGATGTATCTATCTACTGTGTGGCTATTTATGCTGTACAAGAACAAAGGTCTCAGCTCCAATAAGTTTATAATCCAAAATAGGGTTCATTAACCTGATTTGTGCAATGTGATAAATTATAGTTTTATAAATAAATCATAGTTGTCTGGATTCACACACTATAATCAAAAACCAATCAAATTGTCCTTTTTGGGTCCAGACAGACAGCTCATCCCTTAACAAGAACAGACCAATCATAATTGGATTACTGACATGACAAATAAATCTTATACTAAGTCAATGGTTGAATTTCTACGATATACTGAATCACAAACTATTCACCCAATTTAGGCTATAATATAAGCCAAGTGTTCTAAGAAGCTCAATGGCAAATAAAACAACCAAAACTGATTATGATTTCCTTCTTCTACCCTCTCTTTTTCCCCTCTCTTTTTTACTGCTTTTCTTCTCAGCATGCTAATGGTTGCTACTGTACTGCAAAAACTTCCACATATGTTGGTTGAAAAATCAAACTCGATTAAAGAGTTATTGTAATGATAAATATTCAAGCGCACAGTAGGAAGAAATAGCAAAGAAACTTTTAAATGGTTTTAGTTTATTTTTAGATACTTTAGTGCATCATATACAGTGATTTATATTACTGCTTGCTGTCTTGTCAAGGATTGTTATGTTGTTTTGAACTTCCTATCCAACTTCAAGTAGCCACAGAATCTGCGTTTGTATTATTTGCTACATAATTAGAACAAAACTTGTTTAAGTTTTGAAAGCAGGCATACCAAAGCACAGCTAAAGGGATAGGCTGATGCTGCTATGGCCAGTTGACTAAAATGTTATGCATGTATTACCTAAAAGTACATTAATATGCAAACTTGTCTTCTTTTTTGAATGTGAGATCCAGTAGCCCTGTGCAGTTCGAAGTCCTCCATGGTCTTCCAGTGAAAAATTGTCCAGTCCAAATATGATTGGAAGATAAAGGATCATAAAATGGTAAGCAAGGAGCTGAAGTATTCCATTAACAGGTAGCACTTGGAACATCAGATGAAGCATACATATAAGGCTCATCCCATATCCCTCTAACTTCAACACAAAGATTCCTTACTATGTCATCTCATTGATGGATGGTTGATGGTGCAGTCTAGCTGGCATCTGCCTAGCTATCATTGGACACTTCAAGCTATGTGGGTATATCCTTCCCCTCCAGTTGCTCAGCAATAGTCTCCATGGTCATTTTGATTTGGGCATAGAATTAGGATACTAGTTGTAGTGTGTAGAAGAGAAGCTTTGAAAGAATTCCTTAGAAAACTACAGGTCCACTGGCAGCTCCTTTCCATTGCAACTCAAGCCATCGTTTCCTGAATCCAGGTTCCAACCTCTGGCCACAGTGTCTTTCCTTTTCTACAGCAAAAATCTCTCTTCTATGAGCTTCAGCGCCTAACACCATCAGACCGATATACAATATATATCATTGTAAAACTAAGTTTTAAGAACATCTTATATTCAGTGCCAAGTACATAAGAAGGTACTATTAAATGCTGCTAGAATATCTGTGGCACAGTAAATACAGTGTGTAAAAATAATTATTTTTTCTTACTTTAATGATTCCGTCAAATGCATATTTATTCAATAATACATTAAAGGAATGTATTTCCAGGCATGTGTGCCCCACTGAACTCTCTGCTCTGCTGCATCTTAAAAAAACCTGTACATCCAGACACTAGATGACATGAGATCCATTCTGCCACAGTTAAAGTCCACTATTTTCAAAGCTAGAAATGTAACCTTGTGTTTAAATCTCTTATTAAGGACCACTCAAGATAGAAGCACTAAAATGGTCTCCTTTTACCCATCCCATGTTTGCTGTCCTTATCTAGTTGCTATAGCCTTTGTTTCATGTTACTTCTATTGTATTCAGTGGTGGAATGCTGCCTGTTTAACAACCGGTTTGGTGAGTGTGCTCTTTGTGCGTGCATGCGCACTTTGCACATGTGTGCGCCTAAGGTGCTTGCGCACAGCGCTGAAAATGGAGCATTTAGAAGCTCAGCTGCTTACCTTCCAAGTCAGGAATGGTAAGTAGAACAGCAAGGAGGGGGGAATCAACTGTGCCGCATGACTGAGATGAGCTACAAAGCAAGAAATAAAGGACAGGATAAAGCAGGGGCGGGTGGGCGGAGCCAACTGATTGTCAGCACTACCAGTTCTCTGGAACCGGTCCGAACCAGCTGAATTCCACCTCTGCTTGTATTTTACATTACATTTTAAAGTATACTCAATGATTTTCCAACAGTAACGTTAATGATACAGCAGAGCAAAGGTGGAAAGATTTTTTGTACATTGACTCAGTGTAATCAGAAATCAGAAATGAAGCCGTTCTTGTACAAAAGTTTAAGACAGGCACAAACAACATTTGGACTCAAAAGCTGTACTTTCCTTTCTTTTAATTGTCTCTGAAAACTACATTGCTGATGATACAATGATGTCATTATATAGGCTAAACTGACATTTTGAATATTGGGGATTCCAGAAAGGTTTCATTACAGGTATTTTTAACCATATACAGGGGGCAAAAAGATACTATGGAAAACTGATATTTTACTCCAGGATTTTGGCAGAACACAAGAATGAAGTTGAGGCTGCAGTTAGTTTACATGGGTTGGCCTTCCTGTTTTAAAATGACATATCAATTTGTGAATGTTTCATGTTTTGAGTTTTAATTCTGTTTTTCTAAATGTCTTAGAAAATAAGTAAACTTAAAAAGAAATGTTCCTCAGATCATCACATTTAAAAGCAGAACAACAATCCTAAACTAATTTAAACTAATTTAGGCCTTTCTACATGCTCTCCATTCTCATCACTGAAGAGGAGTATCTGCAGAAAAGAGGCAAGGAATGAAAAAAAATCAAGATGTCAGCCTTGATGGTGGCTGCCATCTAGTCCCTCCTTCAGACATTCCTGCTCCCAAGCTCTCAGAACTGCATGTGACACACCATCCTCATCATCATTTCCCACAAGAGATCCCAGCTACACTCTATCCCAGGGGTGTCAAACTCATGGCCCACAGGCTGGATACATCATGCACTGGCCATACCCACCCCCGGTTTAGCAAAGGGGGAGAAGTCACGATAGGTCACGTGATGACAATGTGATGCCCCAAGTTTGACACCCCTGCTCTATCCCAATGTTTCTCAACCTGGACAACTTCCAACCAGTAGGAAGGCAAAGGAGTTTTTCAACACCACCATCAGCATCTGAATTTGCAAGAGCCAGTTAACCTAATAGTCCTAATTAATGGCTCTTAGCAAGGGGGACAGGCCATAAAATGATGTGCTGCTGTTCCAGGTTCAGATCAGCCATGCTTATTCAGTTTTGTTCCATTTGCAATTTATTTTTACTATTTTTTTCATTCTTGCAAAGCTCAAGCCCACCCATTGTTTTTCTTTTTTTTGCAGATGTTTGGGCAGAGAAGTACCTGAGCTTTCCTCCGAACTCTGGAATTTTAGGGGAAAATAAACTCCTATTCTATTAATTACAGGTGGATTACATCAACAGTAATGAAGATGATGGTGGTGATAGAACTCCTCTGTAAACAACTAAAATACAGGTAGTCCTCAACAACAGCAAGTTGTAACGGCACTGAAAAAAGTGACTTATGACCATTTTTCACACTTACGACCATTGCAGCATCCTCATGGTCACATGATTTACATTTGGATGCTTGACAACTGACTCACATTTATAATGGTTGCAGTGTCCCGGGGTCATGTGATCACCTTTTGCAACCTTCTGACAAGCAAAGTCAATGGGCAAACCAGATTCATTTAACAACCATTTTATTAATTTAACAACTGCAGTGTTTCACTTAACAAATGTGGCAAGATAAGTCATAAAATGGAGCCAAACTCATTTAAGAGCTGTGTGCCACAGTCGTTAGAATGCAGTATTGCAGGGTGACTCTGCCGACTGGCGGCAGTTCGAGTCTCATCAGGCTCAAGGTTGACTCAGCCTTCCATCCTTCCGAGGTGGGTAAAATGAGGACCCAGATTATTGGGGGCAATATGCTGACTCTGTAAACCGCTTAGAGAGGGCTGTAAAAGCACTATGAAGCAGTATATAAATCTAAGTGCTACTGCTGTTGCTATTAACAAATTTCTCCCTTAGCAATATACATTTTGGGCTCAATGGTGAGGATTAGCTGTACTTTTCTCATGTGAACTCTGATTGAGAGAGATTAAAGATCAGGGATGCCGTTCCCTTTCCTTTTTTAAAAAAAACAACAACCCTGCACGTAGCAAGCATGCAAATATTAAAATATGATTTGGTTCCTTTGCAAAGCTCAGGCCAACGAGATATCATTTCACCTCTGTACAATCAAAAGGAGGAGTGGAAGAAAGGCAACCCCGAACAAACAAATATAAATATATTAAGATAAAGAATGAATTGTTTAAGAATAAGAGAATAAATATGAATAAACAGTAAAGTTAGAATCTAGGGGCAAACGAAGATGGTGTTTATCTATGCAAATAGAAATATTGAGATATGATATTAAAAAAAAAGAAAAGAAAAGGGGGGGAGGCGATTTTGGCAAGAATTGTAATTGAGTAAAATGGATTTGAATTTGATTGATTAATTGTAAAAGATAAGAAACGACCAACGCTCTGTTAAAAAAAAAAGATGTGGGTGAATATGGGAGAGGAGAAAAAAAACAATAAAACTTGATTTTTTTTTTTTAAAAAAAAAAAGAGAGAGAGAGAGAGATCATTTCACCTCTACCAGCGACATAAATTTTTCCAACCCATTACCAAATTCTCGACCGAAAGGAGTTAACTCAGAAGAAGATCGGTAGGGGGCGTTAAACGGATGCTGACGGTAGCTGAAACTTTTAAAGTCGGTCCAAAACACCGCGAGGGAGGGGAGGCGGGGGCCGCCGTGACTCGAGGAGCCGGGCGAAGGCGCGGGGTTAACCTGCAACTGCGCCTCTTCGGGAGGGAGTTGCTGCCGCTCGCTCTCCCCAGCCGCCTCCCTTGGCAGCTCTGCCTGCACGGGAAGGGAATCCCCTCCCCACCTCGCCGCACGCCCGTGGTTGGAGCGACGCAGGTAAGACGCTCCGGATTCTCCTTTTCTCACCGGCCCTTGCGGCAACGCGATGGGAGAAGAAAGCAAGGCGGTGCGGTGCGGTGCAGTGCCATGTTTTACAGGTTGCACGGGCTGCTCCCCGCTCGTGCCAACGCGTGGGGTGATCTTTCAGGAGGTGGCGCGTCGCGGGAGTGGTTTGCCCGCCTGCAGTTTTGAATTTTTATTTTTTATTTTTATTTTTGGTGTGTGTGTGTGTGTGTGTGTGTGCGTGCGTGGAATGGGTCGGAGGAATTGTATTGAGGAGTTGCTGATCTTCGTGCAGGGAGAATAAAAGAAATTTAAGGACCGTCCAAGGAAAAGTAAATGCAGAGGATGCAAATTTAGAGGGGGAAAGTATGCCTTTTGAATCGCGTTGTGCAAGTCTGCTGATGCTCCCCGAACCGGGAACTAACCAAATTACCGATTGCAAAACTAACCAAGTCCACTGAAGTGAATCCCTTTGAAATTTAGCAAATCTTCCTTTCTGACCCAGTGTGGAGGGCAGCCTGGAAACAGGTTTCTGGGATACAGAAGATGGGTCAGGATGCAGAAGATTGATTGGTTTATATGTCAGATCCGTGGGTGTTCTGGCCACCACATATCTACAAAATAGGCAAAATCATGAATCATATTTCGGGAGTTGAAGACCGATCTGCCACCTTATTCTGAGCTCATCCATTTATGCTGCCAGAGAGAAGTGGTCCAGTTGAGCCAAGTATTGGCTATTTTGAGCCTGGCAGCAGTTCTCCAAGTTCTTGGGAGAAGTTTTGCCCAGCTTTGTTATTTGAGATCTTCTTAAAGGGAGATTTAGTCAAGGAGGTTGCCTTAGATCAGGCTGCTGGAGTATCTCCTCTGATGGCAGACAGGAGATTTGCACATCACTTGGTGCTGTTAACTGAAGAGGTCACAACTTGAACATACATGGCCAGCTTGTATGTATTTCTAGGGCTGTCCTGCTTACACAGTCTAGTCTGCTCTGGCCAATAGTCAGATAAGGAGACTATTAAGGAACACAATTTCTGCTACCCTGAATTCCTTCACAGGAAAAAAGTGGGAAGTAAAAAAATAAAACACAAACAGGATTAAAATCTCAAGACACTTAATTATCACCAGCTGTTTTCCTAGTCACCCAATAGGCAAGCAAGAGGGATTTTGGGAGAGGCAGTTGGACAGTTCTTTTTTTAGATATAAAACTGGTTGGTTGGTTGGTTGGTTGGTTGGTTGGTTGGTTTTGGTTCTTTTAAGACAGCCTTCATTCCTGGTGACTGCTTGAGAAAGTCCCTTCAGTTTTCTTGGCAAGACTTCAGAAGTGGTTTGCCATTGCCTCCTTGCTAGAACTGAAAGGGAGAGAGACTGGACCAAGGTGACCGGCTTCTTGTCTGAGGTGGGATTAAAATTTAGACTCCCAGTTTCTAGCCTGGTTCTTTAACTATTTAGCTACTTCATGTAGGCAAAACTCATCAGAAGGAAACTCAGCCCTGTGATAGAAGCCCAAAATTTCTTTGCAATTCATTCATGAAATTTCTGATAGAAGGGAAAAACACTCCTGTAACAGCTGTTGGGAAATATTACTTCCAAAGATCCTGAAAGGGTCCTACTGATCAGAATGGGAGATGCATGTTTCCTACCTGGGTCTCCTCGCATTAGTTTTCATCTCCCCGCCCCCGTGATTTTTCTTTTATTCTTTCAATATGAAATTAGACAAGAGGCCCAGTGATCTCTTTCAAGTGCCAATATGCCCCCCCAAAAATTTAATACTGGTCAGTTTCTCTGGCCTGTATAGATTTCTGTTCAGATAATGGGCTGCATAGATACTTTAAGCATGGAGAATTTATCTGCAAGGCTGTCTTTGAACTGTTCCACTCCCAGATTTTTGGGAGTGAATAGAAGTTTGGTTTCTTCATGCAGCAATCTAAGAACAGAAGCTACACAGGCTTTCCTGTATAGGACAGCAAAGAGGCCTGAGTAAAACATTATGTTAGAAATAGGAGATGCCTGAGCTGACCCATGTGATACAGTAAATTACTTCTGAGAGATTATAGAATTCAATTGAGTTTGAAATAAAAAGCACAGCCAGTAAGTTGAACTTTATGCAACTTGATTTTGCTGAACTTGTGTAGGGCCTTCCGATCCATCAAAACTGTTTTCATTTGCTAATATTTTGTAAATCACACAAATAACAGAATAACAGAGTTGGAAAGGACCTTGGAGGTCTTCTAGTCCAACCCTCTGCTCAGGAAGGAAACCCTATACTATTTCAAACAAATGGTTGTCCAATCTCTTTTTAAAAATCTCCAGTGTTGGAGCATCCCCAACTTCTGGAAGCAAGCCATTCCACCGATTAATTGTTCTAACTGTCAGGAAATTTCTCCTTAGTTCTAGGTTGCTTCTCTCCTTGATTAGTTTCCATCCATTGCTTGTCCTGCCTTCAGATGCTTTGGAGAATAGGTTGACCCCCTGTTCTTGGGGCAGCACCTTAGATATTAGAACACTGCTATCATGTGTCTATCACCTAGTCTTTATTTTCATTCAACTTCATTAAACTAGATATATCTCATTCCAGCAACCATTCTTTATCTGTTTTAGCCTCCTGTCTCCTTAAATAAGGTAAGAGACATGGGAGCACTAGTAGAGATGCTGCTAGTCAGAGCAGATATATTAGCTAGATCATTTTTATATCAAGGGAGACCCTTCCTTTTCCTACCCCTACATGGGGCAGCAAGATCCTATAGAAAGGACAAGCGAATTTTAGAGGGGGGGGAAGGATTTTCAGGATTTGGGGTGCTTGTCTTAGTTTACTAGAAGTCCAAACTCATTTGTTTCTTTGGGGGAACCATTATGGGAACAGGCAGTACATTTCTGGATTAATAAGGCAAATCTGGAGAACTCCAATGAGGGAAAAACTAGGGGCTATATGAACATACATAGTATGATCTTCCTTGCTTTTTGATAGTGTAGACTAGACTAGACTAGAATTTTTTATTGACCAAGTGTGATTGGACACACAAGGAATTTGTCTTGGTGCATATGCTCTCAGAGTACATAAAAGAAAAGAGAGTGTAGCAGACTGTAGTGAGATTTGATGCTGAATTTCCTGTCCATTTTTTCCTATTAATATGTAGCTGTTCATCAATAAAGGCTGCATTTGTGAAATAGACATTGACAGCAGTGGTGGAATTCAAATTTTTTTACTACCAGTTCTGTGGGCATGGCTTGGCGGGCATGGTGTGGCTTGGTGGGCGTGGCAGGGGAAGGATACTTCCATTCCATTCCCACCCCACTCCAAGGGAAGGATACTACAAAATCCCCATTCCCTCCTCACTCCTGCGGGAAGGATATTGCAAAATCTCCATTCCCACCCCACTCTAGGGCCAGCCAGAGGTGGTATTTGCTGGTTCTCCGAACTACTCAAAATTTCCGCTGCTGGTTCTCCAGAACCTGCCAGAAACTGTTGAATAGCACCCCTGATTGACACTCAAAATATTTGAGTCATCATTTCTAATTCAACAGTTTTCAAAGGGAGTTGTTTTTATCGTAGTTGGGATCCATTTATTAATGAGATAATGATAAAGCTGGCTGGGATTCAGCCTTCCCTCAATGGTCTCAAGTGAAGTTAGATAGAATTGTAAATGTCATTGTATTGTACAGTTATTACCATATAATGCAATTAAGTTGACAAGAGGGAAAGATCGGGGTGAAATGCTACCAGTTCGCTTCAGTTCAGGTGAACTGGTAGTGATAAAAACTACTGGTTCGGGCAAACCAGTAGTAAAAGAAGGCTACCGGTTCATTCCAAATGGTATTTCTGATTATCAGCTATGCCACACGGTTTATATTCGCTAGAAAGCAGGAAATCCTGCTTTCTAGCGAAGCTAAATCGCGTGACACAATCCTCCCCCTTTGCTGTTCTACTTACCTAGTCTTCTTTTTCTGCACGAAGCACGCATTTGGTGCGCACCACGCATGCGCGGGCAGCGAACTGGTGGCGATCTGTGGAGGATTTCATCACTGGGAAAAATGTAGCCTTCTTCAATCTGACTCCTTTTCCTCAAATTCCCATCTCACATAGCTAATCTCTCTGCTGAGTGCAATTATAGGTGTTTGTATTCCCAATAAATGTACAAGGGAATTGTTGCCTTATTATATCAGCAATTGATAATTTAAGGAAATGTCCAGATTCTGGTTTTCTCTTGTCCATTAGAGCCATTTCACATATTGCACAAGGTTTTATTTGTTATCCAATGAGCTTAGGTGTCAGTGTCTGTCAGCTCTTTGAGGTAGACAAAAGTCAAAACAAGAGTTTCAGGAATGTTCTTCATTGTATAAGATAGAATAATAGCATCTGGAAAGCCTGTCAAAGTGTCTCTGCATCCCGTTTTATACTAAACAAATTGAGGGTGAGATTAGTTTGAATTTCATTTCTTATTGCCAAGGTAAGAACTACATTCCTCCACAACCTCATTGTCAAGTGTAAGGCATCTGAAACTGGTTCTATGCCTCCAATGCCAGGGGGATTAAAATGTAGCCGGAACTAGTAGCTGCCATTTTAATTCCCTGCAATTCCTCCATATAGATGCTATGGTGGGGGCCTTAAGGGATATTCAGAGCATTACTGCTTCCTCTCCACCACCCCCCCCACCCCCATCGGCTGTTATATCAAACATGAAAAATAAGGGAAGTAAAGTTTTCCTTCAGAATTCTCAAGTACTGGTACCTTATTGGGTGTTCTGACTACACCAAGAAAAAAAAGCTAGTTGGCCTCCAGCAAGCTTTCTAGGTCAGAAGTTTAAGAGGGAAGTTCATAAGGAGCTTCCAAATCCACTGCAGTTTGGAGAAAGCTGAACAAGAGAGGGACAGCTGTAGTTAAAAAAAATAAATTTCCTTCTCTTCCCACAAATCAGAATGTAACAAAGAAATATTGTAAGAGAAAGGAGAAGAGAGAATAGAATAAAGAACCCCTCTGAGGGTTGGGCAACTCCTGC